CCGTAGGATCGGTCCCTTATCGTGTTTACTGCAATCCTATTCTTCAGGAATTCAGCTAAGCGGCTTTAAAGCCTAATAGCTGAATTCCTGAAGAATGGAAAACAGTAAACACGATAAGGGACCGATCCTACGACGTTTGACTGTGAGTCCCGACCACTACCGTTGCGCTGTTTTGCTTCATAACTCCGTTCAGAGAATCGTTTAGCAGATTTGGAAGGTAGATTTGAGATCAGCGTTCGAAGGCACATCTAGGCCATGGCGACCTGGGAGCCTTTCCTTGTCAGACAACAAGATGTGGACTGTTTTACCTTCGAGAGGAGGAAGAGCCATCAGTAGCCCAAAAATCGAAATCTGTGGAATTCTCTGTGCTAGGAAGGTGACGCTGATGACACCTTAAATCATTCATTAGAAGTCGTTCACTATCTAACTATTTTCGAAATACGCTTGCTCTCATTCATGAACAGACCTCCAGTGGTTCTTCGCTCGAGTGGGTTCCAATTTCTACAGCGGCATTTTCAATGGATGAGAGTCGATTGCTACTTACATCAGCACTTTCTGAACAAATATTATATATTTTAAGAGCTCCATTCTGGTTGCTCTAGAGCACTTCGCGTGTCCATCTGTCAGTCACAAAATTAAGTATTAGTATTACCAGGAAGATCACCTGAAGCAACTGAGTCAAGTTTGGATCGGTGCTGCATGGGCCAATATGTACGACCTAAACATCAGCGGGGCCCCGCCACGGTGGGTATAGCATGTCTAGAGTGAGCGATGCCCAAGGCAAGATTGGTTGCAGTAAAACCCAGAAATCGAAAATGGGTAATATTTTGCATAGACTTGAGTAGATTGTTCTGCGAATGAGCGGTGCTTACTAGTTCCAACTCGGTAATGACAAGCCACAGAAATTTAAAAAACTGGTTGAATGTGATGAACAATGACGGCACACGACAGTGTGTAACAAGGCTCCCTAAGCGTAAAATTGAACTTAAAGTAAAAAAACAGACTCGATGACTGGGCAGCGAACTAAATAGAGGCAAGCGTGCATGAGGCATCAGAAGGTGCCAGCCGGCTCTCACACTCGCCCTAGTTCCTCCTTCTCGCAAAAAAAGACTT